AATATATATAGAATTCCCATAGCATGAATAATTCTCCCATACTGACATGCTACAGCACAGACACGACATTGAGACAAATTTTAGGGCTCATTAATAATATTTGTTCGTGATTCCTTTCTTGGGCTTTAAATACAGGTCTGTATTACCTATCACCATCCAATCAGATTTTTCTATCTTTTAGCAATTAATTCTCGAATTTAACATCCACTTTTGCAGTCCACTCGGATAACATAAATTAAAACGTTTTCGAGATATTGTAGTTTATGGAAAACGTAAATAATCCAGACAAGTTAGAAGGCATGTTGTTTAGGACAAAAATGTTATTGTGTAATGCTGGAGTTCACGGTAGTGACGTCACACGTGTCAGACATGGAGTGATGTGTGTGTGGGAGGAGGAAGGGGGGGGGGTCTTCTTGTCCTCATCAGCATGGCCGGCGAGCCCCCGTTTACATGAACAATCTGAGCCCCCGTCCTGTTCCCCACGAGCTCTAGTATACTAAACACTGACTTTCTCCTACATTACACTGCCAGCTTGTAGATTACGTTCTAAGGCCTTTGAGACTTCTCCTTGTGAGTCTGAAAAAGTACTCATCTGTCTTTTGGACTGAGCATGTTCTTGACGCTCAGCGTCCCAGGATTTTCACGCCCAGCCCCCCCCCCCCCCCCCCCCCTGTTCGTTTAAGAGGATGACATCACTGCCGCGAACTCTTGTTCTGAAATATATCTCTTTGCTCAGGATTTGTTTGTCAGGAACCTTCATGTCTGTGTTGGGTGCGTCCTTGGAAGAACCTCTTTATAGTCGACAACATGATCTACTGTAGGCAGTCCTTTTTACAAACATAGTACAGTTTTGATTTTGTGTATTTTAAAGAAAACTTTTGATTTTCTTAGAGCTCGGCAATGAGAGTTTTTTCTCTTTTAAAAGTTAATATTTTCCTGTCCACTGGAAAGGTACTTCTCAATGGAGCCAAAGGTCTGTTTCTGTCTTACTTAGGTCCCTGGCACACGAGGCAATGTCCCACTTGTTTCACGGCTATGTGTATGCAAGTGGGGCAATTTTTGTTCACCTTTAGTCTCTCTTCACTGCCTAAGGACGTCATACTTCGCGGGCGTACGAGGAGTGGAAATTTTGTCTAAGATATGTAAGGTTTTAAGTGGGCTAAGAAATTAAGCTATTAACTCTACAGTCTCACTTTCTAATTGGTCACCAAAGCAAACCTAACCGATTTTATCAGTTTGATTCAGATCTTTGGCAAAGCTTACAGCGATATCAGAACGTAGAGAAAGTCAGACGTGTTAATGAGAACAAGACAGAGTCCGATCGATTAGGAGGTGGGAAGAAGGCGATGGAGATGGATTGGACATACTCTCAGGAAGCCAGGCAGGTGTATAACAAAGAAAGTGTTGGATTGAAATCCATAAGGTAAGAGATCACTGAGAAGGATACCTGAAACCTGAAGAAGAGTCACAGGGAATGGTGTACTAAAAGTAGGAAGACAAGAAATGTGAGGCACCGTGGTGGATTCAGGCTCTCGTCAATTTTTGGGCATATTGAGTTATTGGTATCATCTTCAAGCTTGTTCATTTGCCTTGCTTGCAATGAAAACTTACCCATCCTTCTTCAATAGAAGTGGAGATATTTTGGATTGAAGGAGGTGGGGGCCACCTGATTTAAGATGTAAAATTAGCGAGAAAATGGCTGCCAAAGCTTGGTAAATTCCAAAGCTGGAGAGTCCATGGAAACTGTAAATTTATATTTTTGTACCTTTAATCAACGTTTTCGGTGAAATTCTCAAAGGAATTTGTTTGTAAATGGACATAAAAGGTGTTGAGCAATTTAATAAAAATTGCTAAGCAGGGAGAAAACTGCTGTTTTCGTCGATTTCATTATTTTGACGAGAGCCTGATTCCACCACGCTGACTCACAAATACTATCAAGAGGCATGCCCAGGACAGGGAAAGTTGGAAAGCGTTCATGGCCTTCACTGTCGCACGCATTAGTCTTGAGTTTGACTCCCGTGTTATTAGGATTTTTATCCTCGAGTGCCTCGGTCTTCCTGCTGAGTCACGGCATTCTTTTCATCCCGGCGTAGCACTGAAGGGCAGGGTTGCAGCTTGTCTTTACAATGATTTAAATTGTGTCGTTGGAGACGTAATACCACTTTCATTTCTTCTTTTACCGCTCATGATTTAAGTAGCATTTTTAGTGTACAAAAAATCGGTGTGTGTTCATGTAAATTTATTATACAAATGTCAAGACTATAGTAATTGTTGTTCACTTGATCTGCTTTTCTTATACTGTATTTTTCTTTTTTTTTTGTTGTTGCAGTTGTTTTAAATCCAGAAAATAGGCCATAACCATTGCGCAAAAATTACCCATTGTTGTGATAACCGATTTCCTGGTCTGGTTTCCCATCCAAGTTAATCGTCTCTTGTCTACAGCTGTGGGTTGAATCACAGGAGAAATGAATGCGGTCGTTACACTAGTAATAGCGTCATCCTGCCAGTGAGCTCCGGTTTCACCTCGTATACCCCCTCCCCATTGGAGTATCAGTTCGGTTCTGTTATGTTTCTGGCGGCTTCAGTGCACATTATAAATAAACCCAATAACTAAAACCGATTGCCTGAATTGCTGGCATTTATGCCATTTGCTGTTTTCACTGAAGCATTTTGCAATTAAGGTAAAGTGTACATGCTTTATGTGATGAGGGCCAATGGCTTGGAAGACCAAATAAACTACCTGCCGGCCTTTCCTCTATATTCATAAACAGACACCAGACACTGTGTTTGTTCTTGACGGTCATCTCCGGGTTTGTCCGGTTTGTGCCACGATGGTAGCTTTTCTCCCTCCATGAAAAAAATCTGGCTAGCCTCGACGACCAAACTGATCCGAACCGAAACAAACCGGACCTGTATTACCTGTCCTGGACAACAACGTCATTGCCCTCCGGACAGGTCCGAAAGTGCTCTGTTCCCCCCAGCACCAAAGCCCACAAGGTATCCACACTGATTGTTCCGGTGGCTGTCTGATTATGGCGACGTTTGTCCTTTCCAGATAATCGTTTCTTTCTTCCTTCTCCCCTCTCTATCCCCATTTCCCATATCCTAATGATTGTGTGGTGTTGTGCTGTCTCCCTGTTTTCTTAATCCTGCAACTTTTTCTCCAGGATCTTCCATACTTCTCCTTTGTCAAATTTCACCTCACCATCAACCACGGCCCTGCCTACAAGCCTATCAGCCTCCTCATTGCCTTTCACATCTGAGTGCCCAGGACAGAATATCCATGTGATGGCTCTAAGTGATGGGTGTTGTATTGGGTTCCTCCATTCCCTCCGAAGAAGCCGAAAAAGAACCGGACCGATCTTGCTAATGGGCCCCGGGTATTAGACTACCTTTACACGTTGCTCGCCTTTAGGAAGAAACATGGATAGTGGCAGGCAAAATCGCATCACAAGGAGGCATTTTTTGCTGGTGTCAGGCTTAGAGTCAGAGACCTTCCAAATGGAAACATGACTTTTGTCTAGAGAGCATTATTGCAATATTTTGTCAAAAGAATGAGTTTTGACGTGTTACACAAAAATGGATGGGGTGCCACTGGCGTCTTCAGCTTCCAAGTTTGTGTTGACAAGCTCTGGGCCTCGCTAGAGAAGGGGGAAGTCACGATAATATTGTCTCGCTTTCAGATGAACAAACGGGGGTCTCTCATGGCCTTGCAGTTAAGGTATTCACCTCTCATTCCCGGGTTCGAATCCAGGTAGCGACAGAAAAAATTTCTTCTCTAAAATTGTCTCCTTTCACCTCCTTTCCTGCTCTCTAGCAATGTTCTGTTGTCCTCTTTCGTCTTCACTTTCTGCCCCCACCCCCTCACATACTTTGCCCCGTCCACTGGGCTCCTGACTCTTTCTGCAGCCTTTCTACTGCTACTCATTGGCCCCTTCTTACTGCTATCTATCAGCCACACTCCTGATCTTCTGGTTGGAAATATCTACACCTACGCGGTTATTGCGGAGTTATGTCTTTTTTAAATTTCAAAATGATTTTTATTTGTGTTTTACTGCATTCGCAATTGTTGAAGCTCATCTGATAGACAGATAGACGGATAGATAGATATATAGACGGATAGATAGATATATAGACAGATAGATAGATAGATAGATAGATAGATAGATAGATAGATAGATAGATAGATAGATAGAAAGATAGATAGATAGATAGATAGATAGATAGATAGATAGATAGATAGATACAAAGATAGATTGATAGACACAGCTCGCTTTCGACATGGTTTGATTCGTGCCTATAGAGGTGTGAAATCTTGTGCATTGATGTATAATCTTTTAAATAATACTCTGAAATCATTTTTAAGGGAGGTTCTTCAAGAAATTTCTATCTCTTTACATTATCAATACGAGCAATAGAATATTCAAAGTTTTGTGTTATCACTGTGTTCCAGAACATTAATGAGAAATGGTGAGAGATTTGAATGGGGGTGAGAACATAATTTGTGAGCTGTGCTGACAAAATGAGTTACTTCTCGCAATCCACAAATGAAGATATTGGCAAAAAAAATCAACACTAGGGTCAAATTTGTAGATTTTCTATTGATGCCATATTCTTTAAGTGTAATAATATGCCTGTTATTATTTCATACGTATGTATTTTTTTAAAACTTATAAGACAATAAGAGTGATATATCTATTTCCATAAGGCTCAAATCCAAGAAGTAACTCATTTTGTCAGCACGTTTCACATTTATTTACGACTGGGGGTTCCAATGAGGGCCATCCGCTCTATAACCCAGTATGTTGCCGACTGAACAAACAAAAATGATCCCAGAACAGCAGAAAGACACACACACAAACGTGTCCAAAACCAGTTCTTGAAGTAACGATTCGGCTACCTCAGATTTCAGGACATTGAAAAGATCGCAAATTTAAAAAAAATATGTTTCATTCAATTTCTTTGTTATTTCGTTAGATCATCATGCCTTTGCGTGTATCTTACGAACCCTTTTCTCTATTTAATCTGAGCATTTTGTCCAGGATGTCTTTGTACTTGGAGCTCATGTTGTAATACACGAAGATATTCACCGAAGAGTTCACCGCAGCCACCGACGTGAAAATGGCCCACGTAAGTAAGAACATATTTTGAAATCTACCAACGATGTTATACTCTGGCGTGATACTCTGAGCAATAAACGTAACTGCACTAGGCAGGAAGCAAGCTATGAATATAACTGCGATGATAAGAATCATCTTGACAACCTTTTTGTCTCTGTTTGAAAAAGATTCCTGCCCAGCCGTACTCGAAGTCGACTGCCGCCATTTTGACTTTCGCACAAGACTCTGAACGAGAATGGCACTGCTCACGATGACCGCAAAGAAAGAGGCGAACTGGGCGAAGGCATTAATCAAAATAGAAAATTTCTCTATAAATGTGCCGTTAGGAATGTAAACGAGCCCTATCTTCGTCGTATTTCTTTGAGCAAAAAACTTGGACCTCAGACGAACGGAATAGTAAACAGGTACGACACCTGCAATCATGGTGAAGTAAATGCAAATAATTACAACTATTGTGCGTCTTGGTGTTATAATTCTTTTCACTTTTAGAGGCAAAGCGATGCACAGGCACCTCTCAAACGTAATAAAAGCCGTGATCCAACTTGTGATGCGCGCGAAACAAACGTGAGGCCAACCTGCCGTAAGGTACACGATGTCTTGTGTGTCAAAGGGAAGATCGGCGTTGGCGAAGGAAGGGTTAAAACAGATACTCTCCCACAAAAGAGGAACGACAGCTCCCAAATCGGAAATGGCCAAGCTGAACAAAGCGATGTTGACTGTGTCTTTAAAACCTTGCTTGATGAAGACGATTATATTGATGGCGTTGAAAACGATGCCGAAGAAGCTGATGGTTCCCAAAGCAACAACAAAGAAAACGAGAATGAAGATCCTTAAGACGTCATCGTCCACCAGCCCGCCCTGTTGCAGTGCAAGTGACGTCACAGAGCTGTTGTCTTCAGGGCCCATTTCGCATTACTGGAAAAACGTTTTCCAGAATTCTTGTTTGGACTATCCCTGGAGCTGCCGTATATAAATAGAAAAAATGGCAATGCACACTGTTAATTACAGTTATAATTCAATTTGATGTAGATAGTCTATGTACACAGACCCAGACACACACACACAAAGACACGCACACACACACACACACACACACACACACACACACACACACACACACACACATACGCACACACACACACACATACACATACAAAAACACACCCATGCATGACATAAAATATCTACGTCTGTATACAATAATTCGCTATAATTTGTGTATACTGCTCCACCTTTCCTTTTCTTCTTGTCTTTTTCTCCCTCCTCCTCTTTCTCCTCTTTCTCCTCCTTCTCTTCCTCTTTCGTTTCCTTGTCTTCTTCCTTCTCCTATTCACACCCTCCTCCTCCTTATCATCCTCTTCCTCCCCCTCTTCCTCCTCCTCCTCCTCCTACTACTACTACTATTACAACTACAGACTACTGTAATGTACTACAACAACTACTACTACTACTACTACAACAACTACTACTACTACTACTACTACTACTACTACCACTACTACTACCACTACTACTACTACTACTACTACTACTACTACTACTACTACTACTACTACTACCTACTACTACTACTACCACCACTGCTATTATTACTACTATTACTTCTACTACAACCACGAGCACAAAAAAACTAACACAAGAAAATGATAGATCGTATGACAAATTTGAAAGTAAAATGCCGCTTCAAAACCTAACTTTCAGGGGCTATCTTACACAAGACAATAACAGTATACGAGAAATTAAAACATAGAGGCACCTCAAAACTTTCCGAGCAGCATCGCGGATAAAGAGATGAGTGAATAGTAGATGAGAACATCATACATAGTCTTGCTACCATCAGCTTCACATGAGTCAACTCTCACTTAGCAGTCAGCATATCTTTTAAATAAATAGACGTATTGAAAAGCGTAGCCTCCCGTGACACAGAAGCTTTAAAAAGAAACAAAGTCAATCTCATGTCTCAAAGGCAATGTACCCTGTTGGCCCACTTTTACTGTTATTTTATTACTAATTGTTACCTGAATGTTTACAAACTTCTTTCCCAAAAGCAATTTTAGAAATAGCCTTGACTTTAGTGCTAAATAACTTCTTTACCCGAAGCTGGTAATACAGAATTATCGTTCATACAGTGTGCAATTTCAGAAATTATCGTAACTTCAGTGCTTGTTCAATTTTGTACTTAAATCTCCCTGATATGTTTAAGTAACACACAATATAAGGTGGGGGTTTTTTAAAGGGGGGGGGGGAGGTAGGAGGGGGGGAGGGATGTGTATGCCTACTATAATAATTAGAATCTATCAAGTGCCTGATTTCAAATCTCAAGACTGCATAGGCAAATAAAATAGATGTACACCGAAGAAGTCTAAACATTACAGCTCTAGTTGAAATTGTTTGTAAATGTTTATCCCCCCAAAACTTACATTTAACAAGAAGAAGATTATAGCTATGAGTTGGAACATTACACACCATTATCAATAACGTAATACCGGAGTATAAATATATACTACAGTCGTATGTTAGAACCATTCATAAAATAATAATACCCCCCTCCCCACCCATTCTAAGCGATCGTTGCCGAGAAAATTAAACATTTATTATTATGTCGATTATCCGTTGACATTTGAATAAAGAGCGGGGCAATTCACAGTCCATCGATATCAATAAATTATTATTTCTCAAGCGGTCTGCATGATACAGACTTATTCGTGCGGTAAATCTGGAGTCACTAAATTGCCCAAGATTTAATTCCCCCCCTTTTGGTCTTGAATTCTCCATATTCTCCCTCGTGAGACAGAGTGAGTCAATACGCTTTGAATCAAGAAAGGTGTAAGATGTGTCTTGTCTTATTATGCGTTTACTGGTGTGATAGGGATATTTTTTTAAAGAACGGAATATTTGAATTTTGAATTTTTACACAACCTGAATAAATACATAATACATAAGAAATAACTCAACACTAAGCCTAAATATTTGTGAGGTGAATTCTAAAAGACAAAAGCTGTAAACAGTATTGCTCTTGGGAGTCAAAGCCTGTCTGCTGCAAATTTTAACCTCCAAAAGGTTTGTAACGTAGTCCTACGCATCGTACACACTGGTCCTTCGAGATTTTTTTGCCCTTATCTAGGAAGACAAAAGTCTCCATCTCAGCTACCTGAAGATCGGAGAATGAAGGAAGGAAGGAAAAGACTGACTAAGTGTGCACAACCTTTCCTGCAGGATCAGCTGGTTTTACGTCCTCAACATCCGATTTGAAATTCCCTCCCCCCACGACAGGTCAAGCACTTGGCCGTCACACGTAGGAGACCCCAGGTCGTGTGGAACTTCTCTTTTATCCACAATCCCGGCCTTGAATTTTTTCTTTTTTTTTTGTTTAGTCCCTTGTCCATTTCTGTGCGATTGACGCTATCTGATTAGTAGAAAGAGTGCATATTATGATAGTGTCCAATAATGTATTACGAATATAATTATTATAGCATGTAAGGGTTAAAGCTAGAGATCCAAGGAATATAGATGTATGTCAAGGATCTAAGAGCAAAGCTGATTTTTTTATATGATGGTGGTGGTGAGTGGTGACATGATCTGATGTCTGAGTAAATAATTAATTATTGAGGAGACGTGCGTTTACTCACTGTCAGCGGAGTTTTTGTTTCAATGTTACCGTTATCTAGGCCTTTCTACTGAGATGGTATATCGTTCTCAGCTCAGTTTTAATTTAGTTTTAGTATGGTTTTACGGCCCTCGAAACAGCATAACGTCATAATTATGAGCGCCAATGGGTGGATGTAAACAGAGAAGTCCAAACGGGGAACCAGGCTTACTCGTTCCTTTCTAGCTTCAACAGCACAAAGTCTGCTTCGAGTATCAAGGCACCCCAAAAATAACAGTTAACATGAGAGTGACAAACATAAAAAGGAACAGAGAAAAAAAAGACGATATTAAGGATGAGGAAAGAAAAAGCAGCAGTTTCTCAATGTTGTCCCGGCACAGTATGAGCATGCCATTTTTAAATCAACCCATTTACAATTATACTTTGCATAAGAACGTGGTAATATTATCCCCTTCAGGAATGACCTATAGACAACTTCAGTCATATTGGGGGGGGGGGGCCCAGGTTTGACGCTGGCAGGGGGGATCGAAGTCTGTCTTCTAATTGATAATCTACATTTAGTCGGTGAAGACGTAAAACATCTACATTGAAATGTAGAATGACAACTAATCATAAACGAAAGGAAATCGCAAAACCGTCTTCTTTTTGTTCGTCTTCCCTTGTTTGTTTGTTGTTTTTTTCTAAACAGACTCAAAATTGTGTTGAAAGGAGCGTAAAACAGCTACATTAAAAACGAAAGGGTTTCAGACCAGCGTGCGTGGTGTTGTGGTTTAATCGGGGAGAGACAGCAACCTGCGTGAAAAATCCAGATGTCCAACCAGCTGGTAACTGGCACGATCAGCAAATAAACCCTTTCATGGATCCTGGAGAGGAGGGAGGAGCAGCCTATGACACTGATGATATGTATTCTTCAACCATATAACTAAGAAGCCAGTAAGAGACCTCAGTGCTCTCTTGTCCTATCTCCATTTTTGATAACAGTTAAATAAGACAAAGAGTTAGCTGAAGAAGAAGTCACATTTTCACTGTTTAGAAAGAGATAGGACAAGAAAGAACTGAGGTGGCGAGTAGGAGATGTAGTTGAGGCGCTTCACGCACTTTTTGCATGATCACGCTCTTTGGGTGTTGGAAAAACGTCTCGTTTAGTGGACAGAGCGGTCCAACTGTGGCCGAGCTATGTCGGTAGGCGCATAAGAAAAGTGGGGGCTCTCGTGGCCCAGAGGTTAAGGTGTTGGCCTCTCATTCAAAGGTCCCGGGTTCGGTTCCAGGTGTAGCGACCGAAAAATTTTCTTCTCTAAAATGGTCT